AGCTACAGTCCGACATCAACCAGGCGAAACATTAGCTTTAATCACAAGTCATGAGTACATGCTGTTCAAACTGGTGGGATGGAATACTGAAATATACAAATCAAGTTTAATTCAATCAAAATCAGATATATGAAATAATCAGTAGATACAGGGACACAATAACCAGGATGGCTAATGCTGTAACTACAAGCTCCTCGATTGTAAGTACCCACACTTTTAATGTTTTCGAAAAGGTTTTCAATATGGTTGTTCAGGAAGCCGTATTTTTGTAGAATTTGACGTTTGAATACCTACTTTTCATCTGATGTATATAATTTTGTATATCCGTTCAGAAACATTCTATTTCAGCTTGTATTTAGTGTTATTCGTGGAGTTTTGCGATTTCTAATGTTTCAGTTGTTGGTATTCACTAGCTTGCTGTTTTGGTTCAGTTGCGCATCAGATTTCAAAGTATATCCACGGAGTAAGAATTAAGAATTATGGTTTTACAGTAACTAAACATTTCACACTGTGTGGGTATGTTTCAGTAACTAAACATTTCACTGTATATGGGGTACCTGTGTCCATTTGGGTATGTTTCAGTAACTAAACATTTCACTGTGTAGGGAGTACCTGTGTTCATTTGGGTATGTTTCAGTAACTAAACATTTCACTGTGTAGGGAGTACCTGTGTTCATTTGGGTATGTTTCAGTAACTAAACATTTCACTGTATATGAAGTACCTGTGTTCATTTGACTTTTTGGCAGTAAGTGTATATAATTCGACGTGAATCCTGTGTCTGTATGAAACTGGTATTTTTAGTAACTGTATATTTCGACAGTACCTGGCAGTATACAATTTTGATTTATATCAAGTATCCGTATGAATTTGGTTATGTTTAGTTGTATAAATCTATTTGTATCAAATACATATATAGATTTAGTCATGTTCAATATACAAATGTACAAATTAACAGAGAAGAAATATCTGTTCTGATATTTGCGTACGAGACAGTCCATGGTACGTTTAAATTGTAACATTAAAATGGAATGAAGTTTAAAGTACAGGTAACTTTTCGTGCATGTATTCATCCCTGATGTGCTGTTGTATAATCCCGTCTATATTAGCCTCATTACAGAGACAGTATTTTATTAATGTCTGATCTCATTGATATATGGGTGTAGTGTAGTCGCACTTAAGGTTACTTCAGTAGTGGATAGATTAATTAATACCGACCAACATTATATCTTTCATGATCCAGAAAATAAGCATATTTAGCTCTTCTAGGTGAGCCCTTTATTGAGGTTTTGAAATTTAATTTAATTAGTGATCGTGTCTGTATATAATCATTTCATCAGGTAGATCGTAGGAAGGACTTTTTATACCTTAATGTTATCACTGAATATATAAGACCAAAGTTTTACATACGACAGTGGGACACATAAAGTAGCTTGCATGCTGTGGTCTTCACATATATACTATACATGTCATATCTCTGTCGCATGTTTCGTCTGTTTTACTATCAGTCATCACGACCCAGAAATAAATATAGAAAAGCCTTACAACAATAAGGCTAACTCCATAGAAACAGAAAACATCTTTTAAAAAAGTTCATAATCTCATATCTCAACCATCTCGATTCTCAACTTCTTCCCGATCTCAATCTTAGCTCTCAATTTCTGGCTCTTCTCAATCTCAGTTCTCAACTTCTGCCCGCTCTCATTCTCAGTTCTCAACTTCTGCCCGCTCTCAATCTCAGTTCTCAACTTCTGCCCGCTCTCATTCTCAGTTCTCAACTTCTGCCCGCTCTTAATCTCAGTTCTCAACTTCTGCCTTCTTAGGAATTTGAAAAAGAAATGCTCAGGAAACCACATCTCCATGCCTAAACAACATAGTCAGACCGACGGCGTAAACTCCTTCAGATATTAGACAACCTGCCTTCGAAAGCAGATTATTAGAACTACAACTTAAACCAGTGAATCAGAAAGAAAAACGTCCGGCTTACCAATCGTCCATACATAAAATCATCTCTCTTTACTCTAATCTAATTATGGCTAAAACATTATTAATTCTCCAAGCAGCTCTTATATGAAGTCGAAGAAAATATATGTCACTCTTGTCACCGTGTTTTATTGCAGTATATTGATGATGTAGTATGTTTTGTTCCTGTGTGTTGATGCTGTAGTATGTTTTGTTCCTGTGTGTTGATGCTGTAGTATGTTTTGTTCCTGTGTGTTGATGCTGTAGTATGTTTTGTCCCGGATGTTGATGGTGTAGTATGTTTTGTCCCGGGATGTTGATGCTGTAGTATGTTTTGTCCCGATGTGTTAATGCTGTAGTATGTTTTGTCCCGGATGTTGATGCTATAGTATGTTTTGTCCCGGTGTGTTAATGCTGTAGTATGTTTTGTCCCGGATATTGATGCTGTAGTATGCTTTGTCCCGGGATGTTGACGCTGTAGTATGTTTTGTACCGGGATGTTGATGCTGTAGTATGTTTTGTCCCAGGTGTTGATGCTGTAGTATGTTTTGTCCCGGATGTTGATGCTGTAGTATGTTTTGTCCCGGGATGTTGACGCTGTAGTATGTTTTGTCCCGGGATGTTGATGCTGTAGTATGTTTTGTCCCGGATGTTGATGCTGTAGTATGTTTTGTCCCGGGATGTTGACGCTGTAGTATGTTTTGTCCCGGGATGTTGATGCTGTAGTATGTTTTGTCCCAGGTTGTTGATGCTGTAGTATGTTTTGTCCCGGATGTTGATGCTGTAGTATGTTTTGTCCCGGGATGTTGACGCTGTAGTATGTTTTGTCCCGGGATGTTGACGCTGTAGTATGTTTTGTCCCGGGATGTTGATGCTGTAGTATGTTTTGTCCCAGGTGTTGATGCTGTAGTATTTGTCCCAAGTTGTTGATGCTGTAGTATGTTTTGTCTCAGGTTGTTGATGCTGTAGTTTGTTTTGTCCCGGGATGTTGATGCCGTAGTATGTTTTGTCCCTGTGTGTTGATGTTGTAGTATGTTTTGCCCCGGGATGTTGATGCTGTAGTATGTTTTGTCCCGGGATGTTGATGCTGTAGTATGTTTTGTCCCAGGTGTTGATGCTGTAGTATTTGTCCCAAGTTGTTGATGCTGTAGTATGTTTTGTCTCAGGTTGTTGATGCTGTAGTTTGTTTTGTCCCGGGATGTTGATGCTGTAGTATGTTTTGTCCCGGGTTGTTGATGCTGTAGTTTGTTTTGTCCCGGGATGTTGATGGTGTAGTATGTTTTGTCCCGAGTTGTTGATGCTGTAGTATGTTTTGTCCCGGGATGTTGATGCTGTAGTATGTTTTGTCCCGGGTTGTTGATGCTGTAGTTTGTTTTGTCCCGGGATGTTGATGGTGTAGTATGTTTTGTCCCGAGTTGTTGATGCTGTAGTATGTTTTGTCCCTGTGTGTTGATGCTGTAGTATGTTTTGTCCCGAGTTGTTGATGCTGTAGTATGTTTTGTCCCTGTGTGTTGATGCTGTAGTATGTTTTGTCCCGTGGTGTTGATGCTGTAGTATGTTTTGTCCCGGGGTGTTGATGCTGTAGTATGTTTTGTCCCGGATGTTGACGCTGTATGTTTTGTCCCTGTGTGTTGATGCTGTAGTATGTTTTGTCCCGGGATGCTGATGGTGTAGTATGTTTTATCCCAGGTTGTTGATGCTGTAGTTTGTTTTGTCCTGGGATGTTGATGCCGTAGTATGTTTTGTCCCGAGTTGTTGATGTTGTAGTATGTTTGGTCCCTGTGTGTTGATGGTGTAGTATGTTTTGTCCCGAGTTGTTGATGCTGTAGTATGTTTTGTCCCTGTGTGTTGATGCTGTAGTATGTTTTGTCCCGAGTTGTTGATGCTGTAGTATGTTTTGTCCCTGTGTGTTGATGCTGTAGTATGTTTTGTCCCGGGATGTTGATGCTGTAGTATGTTTTGTCCCGGGTTGTTGATGCTGTAGTATGTTTTGTCCCAGGTTGTTGATGCTGTAGTTTGTTTTGTCCTGGGATGTTGATGCTGTAGTATGTTTTGTCCCTGTGTGTTGATGCTGTAGTATGTTTTGTCCCGAGTTGTTGATGCTGTAGTATGTTTTGTCCCAGGTTGTTGATGCTGTAGTTTGTTTTGTCCCGGGTTGTTGATGCCGTAGTATGTTTTGTCCCGAGTTGTTGATGCTGTAGTATGTTTTGTCTCGGGGTGGTGACGCTGTAGTATGTTTTGTCCCGGGGTGTTGATGCTGTAGTATGTTTTGTCCCTTGGTGTTGATGCTGTAGTATGTTTTGTTCCGGATGTTGATGCTGTAGTATGTTTTGTCCAGGGATGTTGATGCTGTAGTATGTTTTGTCCCGGGATGTTGATGCTGTAGTATGTTTTGTTCCGGATGTTGAAGCTGCAGTATGTTTTGTCCCGGATGTTGATGCTGTAGTATGTTTTGTCCCAGGATGTTGATGCTGTAGTATGTTTTGTCCCGGGGTGTTGATGCTGTAGTATGTTTTGTCCCGGGATGTTGATGCTGTAGTATGTTTTGTCCCGGGATGTTGATGCTGTAGTATGTTTTGTCCCGGGTGTTGATGCTGTAGTGTGTTTTGTCCCGGGGTGTTGATGTTGTAGTATGTTTTATCCCAGGGTGTCGATGCTGTGGTATGATTTGTCCCGGGGTGTTGATGGTGTAGAATGTTTTGTCCCGGGGTTTTGGTGTAGCATGTATACCTACAGTTAGTAGTAGCCAGACTGTTTAGTCAGTTCCTGTCGTTTTTCTTATTTCACAATGGTGTTACTTATCATTCTTCCGTCTCTAATTGAGTGACAGTCTTGGCTTTACGTTATACAAACAATGTATTGTTAACATACATAGTTTTTTCGACGCCCCATTAAACACTAGCACGTTCCACTGGATACGATTACTTTGTTCTGTGTTTTATATTTATTTTCAAATGCTTATTGTGAAAATCTGATCACCTTTCAGTTTGACATGTCAAACTTCGTGACCCGTTGTAAAACGGCAGATCCTTACTCAATCATGACCAAGTATCGTATGAACCGGCCAGGAGCCACACGTCGTGCCAAGAGTGCCCACATCAGACGGATTAGGGGAGACTTGTGTGCTTCGGAACGGTCAGATGACCACACAAGGGCAGAAAGTGCGGACATGCATAGTATTACCACGGCAACCGATTTATATGACTTCGATAAAGACTTTCCCGATGATCTGGATCACGATGGTCAGTATAAAGTAACGTTATAAGTCAATCTATTTATTTGTGGAAACGCACGTGTAATAACCTCTCAGCTATGCTGATTGGTTGTTTTTACGGAAAATCACATGTATTTACATACGTGCTAGGAATAAGCCTACTGATTTGAGATACGATTTTGTTTCCATACGAGTGATGATCATTAGCAGATAAGTTTGTGACAAAGTTGTGACAGTTAGAGGCAAGAGAAGCTGTAACAATGAGTACACGTTGGATTGATCAACCTTTTGTAAGGGTAACAGTTTCATCCCCGTGAAATGTCTTTTAAAAAACTTAGCACATCAATATGACAACACATGAACTATCAAAAACGTCTGTTACAAGACAATCAGAATTGTAGCGTTCTATATGTTCCGTTTTTTCAGGGTCACTTCTTTTTAAGAATTCAGTCAACTGAAAATGAAATTAGATGTCCTTATGTGGAACATTGGTTAGTTAGTAAAGTGGGAATGCTATGATTTTCGACATAGATGGTCTAATGATAAACTAAATAAGCAGCAAGTAGCTTAGAGAATAATATAATCATTAATTCGACATACATTAACGTGACGGGTGTCGTCTATAAAACAGACGACGCTTACTCCTTGTACTTTTCAGACGTCTCCGTGTAAATCTTTATTTTGCTAAAATTTTGCCTTAGTTTTATTAGATTTGTGTTTGGATTGCGACTATGATGTTCATTCTTGTCTATACATAGTTATAACGCTAACTTATGTCGACGGATCTCCTCAAGTCCTTATACTCATAGCACAACGGTCATCTTGTCGATTCTTAACACTTCTACAATAATATTACTTCAATTTCTCTATGAGTCGCTGCAAAAACTTCCATCTCATTGAGTCTTCAAATCGTTTGCCAATATATTTAAAAACCTCAAACAAGAAATTATCAGCATGTCGAAATGTCTTCATTCGAGTTTTCTTCAAAACCAGTAAAATATGGTTAAAGATATGGAAAAAGAAAGTTATTACACGATGATCCTTGAACAGATGGTCCGGGAAGGTAACTTTATTTTACTTCATCAACGACGCTCAATCCAGCCACATCAACAATACCAACTCGACGGAATCGCCGGACATACATAAAAGTACTTGGAGAACAAGACCATGGGTTCCAGAAGTGTAAGCGTTTCCTGCTCCATTTGCACCACCCGGCATGTAAAATCTTGGTCAATACAAGTTCATTGTACCAAAGAGCAAGGTCTATACACATCAAACACGTCCAGCTTTATGTCCAGGTTCATATCACACAAGTAAAAATAACATTGCTTAATGAGGTCACTATGACGACCCTAAAACGTGTTCCTATTTTTCATCAACCCCAATTTCTGTAACCCTGTTTTGATAGTTTTCGTCATCTCATTAGGTACCCATACACCTATAGTTTATACACTTCCTATTTCGCCAGGACCCCATAATAATGATAACGATGTTCATGTTTTGTTATCTTTTCAGACGAGGAAGACGAGGAACGCCCAACGACCGCTCTTTCACCTTCTCAGGAGGTCTATAAAAAAGCCTGCCGACAGCTCAATGTAGTCATCAGTCAGTTCTTTAATCGCCATTTAGTCGAGGACAGTGTTGTCATGAGACATCATGAGCTAGGACCCAAAGGAGGAAAGGCATGCGCTCTGGCACTTATGGTACGTCACAATTCATTGACGTAATTTTTTACAATATTCATTGAAACAACATTTTAATTTAGTATGAATTTGGTTTATGAGATACAAAATGTACAAATTGGTTAAATGAAGAATGATACCATTCGTCATTATAGAATTCTTATTGTAAGACTATATCTGTGTCTTTGTCCTAGCAAGGACTGACATTGTGTTATGTACATTTGGTCTCTAGAGTATTACCTGTGCCGTTTGCTGCCCTTATTGTATATTGTATCTCTACTTGTTTTGACGTAAAGTATATGGTTTTCATCTTTAGCAAATATTATTCTCGTGTTTTAATGTCGTTGTTTATCTTAGCATTCTACGTTCCCGGGTTTTGACACAGTATATCTTGACCCTCTGCCTGTTTTCACACCGCAGTATATCTTGACCCTCTGCGTTGACCTGTTTTGACAACGTCCTATATCTTGACCCTCTGCGTTGACCTGTTTTGACACTGTCCTATATCTTGACCCTCTGCGTTGACCTGTTTTGACACTGTCCTATATCTTGACCCTCTGCGTTGACCTGTTTTGACACAGCAGTATATCTTGCCCCTCTGCGATGTTGACGTTGTAGTTTATCTTGTGTCACTGAGACTGAGTGGATGCTGTACGTTGGCCCTCTGCGTTGTTACATTGGTTTATCTTCCATCCCCCGTGTTGACGCTGAAATTTGCTGTTTATCTTTCCTGCTGTTGTTTATCTTGCTCGGTTGTGTTGACGCTGTTGTTTATCTTGTCCGGCTGAGTTGACGCTGTTGTTTATCTTGCTCGTTGAGTTGACGCTGTTGTTTATCTTTCCTGCTGTGTTGACGCTGTTGTTTATCTTGTCCGGCTGAGTTGACGCTGTTGTTTATCTTGCTCGGTTGAGTTGACGCTGTTATTTATTTTGCTCGGCTGAGTTGACGCTGTTGTTTATCTTGCTCGGCTGAGTTGACGCTGTTATTTATCTTGCTCGGCTGAGTTGACGCTGTTGTTTATCTTTCCTGCTGTGTTGACGCTGTAGTTTATCTTGTCCGGCTGAGTTGACGCTGTTGTTTATCTTGTCCGGCTGAGTTGACGCTGTTGTTTATCTTGCTCGTTGAGTTGACGCTGTTGTTTATCTTGCTCGGCTGTGTTGACGTTGTTGTTTATCTTGCTCGGCTGAGTTGACGCTGTTGTTTATCTTTCCTGCTGAGTTGACGCTGTTGTTTATCTTGCTCGTTGAGTTGACGCTGTTGTTTTTCTTGCTCGCTGAGTTGACGTCGTTTATCTTGCTCGCTGAGTTGACGTCGTTTATCTTGCTCGCTGAGTTGACGCTGTTGTTTATCTTGCTCGGCTGTGTTGACGCTGTTGTTTATCTTGTCCGGCTGAGTTGACGCTGTTGTTTATCTTGCTCGGCTGAGTTGACGCTGTTGTTTTTCTTGCTCGCTGAGTTGACGTCGTTTATCTTGCTCGTTGAGTTGACGCTATTGTTTTTCTTGCTCGCAGAGTTGACGTCGTTTATCTTGCTCGCTGAGTTGACGTCGTTTATCTTGCTCGGTGAGTTGACGGTGTAGCCTATTTTGCCTTACAGTGTCCGCATTATATTTCATCTTGCTCTTTTGTGTTGAAACCTCAGTTCACCATAAACGTCTTTATTGTCATCGCTGTTTTCGGCATATGTGGGTTAAATTTGGAGTATGATATCCTACAATGAAATTCTCTGTATTGGCGATATGGTATCATTTTGTGTTTTCACAGAACAATTCAAGCGTGACGACGTTAGATCTGACGGATAATGATCTCGGACCAACAGGAGGGAGCTATATCGGAGAGGTGTTACAAGAGAACCATTTCATATCTGACCTTGTAAGTTTTGTCCTCTCATTGGCTATCGAAATGACTATCCTCCCATACTCGTCTGAAGCTTCCATATTTTCACAATGCGCCGTCTTTATCATCCTTAGGGTTGTACGTAAACACTCACAAGTAAATATAATGTCACCTTTCGATATAAATTTAGAATCCTATTCTAAATCTGATATCCTAAAACGGTATCACACAGCTACTTCGTCCGTCTAGGACTTGTTAGTGGTATGTGGGGTCCGAGGCATTGAAACCCGGGAGTCAATTAAAGGAAATTGAAAATAGTTAAATGCATTATTCATTCTCCAATCGGTAATCTACAATATCTCTCATAGGCCGTGTCGTTCACTTAAGTACCATCACATTTGTTTAAAATGTCCCACATTTAAGTTAAGTTGGTTATCTTAACTTTGATAAATAAAATATAGTCTAAATTTTCGCCCCATTGATCACTGAACACTTTCCGATTGGTCGCCTTAAAATAACATCTCCATTCTTCCATCGATCACTTGAAATATCTTTCATTGATCATTTAAAACCCTCTCATTGGTCAACAATATCCTCCTCTCATTGACCACTTAAACCTCCAACTGATTACTTAAACCCCCGACTAATAACTTAAACCTTCAACTGATTACTTAAACCTCCAACATATTACTTAAACCTCCAACTGATTACTTAAACCTCCAACTGATCACTTAAACCTCCAACTGATTACTTAAACCTACAACTGATCACTTTAAACTCGAACTGACTAATTAAACCTCGAACTGATTACTTTAAACTCGAACTGACTAATTAAACCTCCAACTGCATACTTTAAACTCGAACTGATTACTTTAACCTCCAACTAATTACTTAATCTCAAACTGAATACTTAAATCTCAAACTGATTACTTAAACCTTCAACTGATTACTTACACCTCCAACTGATTACTTAAACCTCCATCTGATTACTAAAACCTCAAACTGATTACTTAAACCTCCAACTGATAACTTAAACCTCCAACTGATTACTTAAACCTCCAACTGATTACTTAAACCTCCAACTAATTACTAAAACCCCCAATTGATCACTTACATCTCCAACTGATTACGTAAACCTCCAACTAATTACTTAATCTCAAACTGAATACTTAAATCTCAAACTGATTACTTAAACCTTCAACTGATTACTTACACCTCCAACTGATTACTTAAACCTCCATCTGATTACTAAAACCTCAAACTGATTACTTAAACCTCCAACTGATAACTTAAACCTCCAACTGATTACTTAAACCTCCAACTGATTACTTAAACCTCCAACTAATTACTAAAACCCCCAATTGATCACTTACATCTCCAACTGATTACGTAAACCTCCAACTGATCACTTAAACCTCCAACTGATTACTTAAACCTACAACTGATCACTTTAAACTCGAACTGACTAATTAAACCTCCAACTGATTACTTAAACCTCCAACTGATTACTTTAGCCTCGAACTGATCCCTTTAACCTCCAACTGATTACTTAATCTCCAACTGACTACTTAAATCTACAACTGATTACTTAAATCTCCAACTGATTTCTTAAACCTCCAACTGATTACTTAAACCTCCAACTAATTACTTAAATCTCAAACTGATTACTTTAGCCTCGAACTGATCCCTTTAACCTCCAACTGATTACTTAATCTCCAACTGACTACTTAAATCTACAACTGATTACTTAAATCTCCAACTGATTTCTTAAACCTCCAACTGATTACTTAATCTCCAACTGATTACGTTAGCCTCGTAGTGACCACTTTAACCTCTAACTGATTACTTAAACCTCCAACTGATTACTTAAACCTCCAACTGATTCCTTAAATCTCCAACTGATCACTTAAACCTCCAACTTATTACTTTAGCCTCCAACTGATCACTTAAACCTCCAACTGATCATTTAAATCTCAAACTGATTACTTAAACCTCCAACTGACTACTTAAACCTCCAACTGATCACTTTAACCTCCAACTGATCACTTAAACCTCCAACTGATTACTTTAGCCTCGAACTTATTACTTAAACCTCCAATTGATTACTTAACCCTCCAACTGATCACTTAAACCTCCAACTGATTACTTGAACCTCCCATTTATCACTTTAACCTCCACTGATCATTTTCAACACTCTTCCACTGGTCCATGACAAACAAGTCCACTTTCGTATTGATCACTTAAAACACCCTCCCATTGCAATTAAAACACTCTCTAGTTATAATGTCCTCCCTGGTAACTAATTGTATTATTTTTCATTTATAAATACGTTTTCAAACACAAACTAAAATCAAACTGTTCTGCAAAATAATATACTAAAATCAGTTATCGAAATTTTCCAGACATTAGCAGACAACAACATGAAAATTGACGGCACTAAAGGCATCCTGAAGGCTATACTGGACTACGACTGTATAACAAGTCTCAATTTATCTGGTAATATAGCAAAACGAACCGCAGGTTCTACAGAGATATAATCACCCTATCGGGTAGTATACCACACCATCAGAACCTAGAACTCTACATTGATACAGATAATTATATCACACCATCAGAACCTAGAACTCTACAGTGATACAGATAATTATATCACACCATCAGAACCTAGAACTCTACAGTGATACAGATAATTATATCACACCATCAGAACTCTACAGTGATACAGATAATTATATCACACCATCAGAACCTAGAACTCTACAGTGATACAGATAATTATATCACACCATCAGAACTCTACAGTGATACAGATAATTATATCACACCATCAGAACCTAGAACTCTACAGTGATACAGATAATTATATCACACCATCAGAACCTAGAACTCTACAGTGATACAGATAATTATATCACACCATCAGAACTCTACAGTGATACAGATAATTATATCACACCATCAGAACTCTACAGTGATACAGATAATTATATCACACCATCAGAACTCTACAGTGATACAGATAATTATACCACACCATCAGAACTCTACAGTGATACAGATAATTATATCACACCATCAGAACCTAGAACTCTACAGTGATACAGATAATTATATCACACCATCAGAACCTAGAACTCTACAGTGATACAGATAATTATATCACACCATCAGAACCTAGAACTATACAGTGATACAGATAATTATATCACACCATCAGAACTCTACAGTGATACAGATAATTATATCACACTATCAGAACTCTACAGTGATACAGATAATTATATCACACCATCAGAACCTAGAACTATACAGTGATACAGATAATTTTACCACACCATCAGAACCTAGAACTCTACAGTGATACAGATAATTATATCACACCATCAGAACTCTACAGTGATACAGATAATTATATCACACCATCAGAACTCTACAGTGATACAGATAATTATATCACACCATCAGAACTCTACAGTGATATAGATAATTATATCACACCATCAGAACCTAGAACTCTACAGTGATACAGATAATTATATCACACCATCAGAACCTAGAACTCTACAGTGATATAGATAATTATACCACACCATCAGAACCTAGAACTCTACAGTGATACAGATATTTATATCACACCATCAGAACTCTACAGTGATACAGATAATTATATCACACCATCAGAACCTAGAACTCTACAGTGATATAGATAATTATACCACACCATCAGAACCTAGAACTCTACAGTGATACAGATATTTATATCACACCATCAGAACTCTACAGTGATACAGATAATTATATCACACCATCAGAACCTAGAACTCTACAGTGATACAGATAATTATATCACACCATCAGAACCTAGAACTCTACAGTGATACAGATAATTACTTTAGGAAGTAGATCTTTACCTGTGTTTATAATACGTGCCATGAATTATGTTATTAGCAAAATGCTATTTGAGCATTTATCAAATATCAACATAATACTTTATAAATTGCTTTTTCATTGACATTTTTTCCCAGGGAACGGTTTTCGGGAGTGTGATGCCGAGGCCTTCGAACGTGTGATTGAGGTATGACGGATAGATTCGAAATTCGTGAACGTCAATGACAGGGCTGTAGTACAGCTGTACTGTAGATAGTTATTAGACGCCAATGATGTGCATATTAAATGTTGGTCCAGTTGTATCCACTATCTCATGGAATGTAGCTGTTACATATGGTATAGAAAACGATGAATAATTGATATTTTCATTACACGTATATCAAATAATTTCATTTTTCATTTGATTTTGTCACCGTTTGATATGATTTCATTATTGTGATTTGGTTTCATGTATATATGGTTTTATTTCATCAATGTCTCATTTGATTTTATCAATATTAAATTTGATTTTACCAATATCTTATTTGATTACATCAATATCTTAATTGATTTTACCAATATCTGATTTCATTTCATCTCCTTCTAATTTGATTTCATCTACGTATGATTTGATTTCATCAATATCTCATTTGATTTTACCAAAATCTTATTTAATTTCTTCTACCTATAATTTGATTTCATCTCCACATAATTTGATTTCATCAGTATCTCATTTAATTTCATCAACATATATGCCTTTATTTTATCATTATACGATACCATAACATACCTGGCGCCGAATAATATAAATGGTATGTTACAATCATATGATGATATTTGTGAATAATATGAGAACGGAATGACAGAGAGATAAAATATATAATAATATAAGAATCATGCATAACAATAATGAATGACAGAAAGTAATGTAATGTTGAAACTAAGTAATAAGACGATAAACCATTTATTTGTAAAACTTTATCATATCACGGTAAAACCTAATAGCTTGTTGATGATTCCGGATCATATAAACGTAATAATATAACTTATATTAACAATACAGTATTTCTTATACAATATGTGGCAGGTATGGCGTTCCATACTGTCAGCTTCCATGTTTCTTTTGCCTAGGACTCTTCGAAATTGACAAGACTGAATCTAAGCCATAATGAATTTCGTGAGGAAGGAGGAGAGGTCATAGGTCAAGCGATAGGTAAGGCAATCTTCGTATGGACATAGAGGTCAAAGTGTAAACTTTAAAAGAAGAATGGGTGATTTACATCTGTTAGAGTAGGTCGATAATATGTATGTCAGCAATTTATAATAAATATTATGTTTAATGTTCTTAATGACGATTAAAGTAAAACCAATGCAAACAAAGAAAGAAAACCAATATCATAAACGTTTTATTGTCATCAGTGAACAGATGGGGTGTTTGTCTATCCAATGTTTGCTGTCCAATGTCCAATCCTTGTTTGACATACGGAGCGGAGTACTAAACATTTTCATTTTTGTTTTGGTACATACAGTCACCTTATGTAAAATCTTACTAGCATTTATCAATGTTAGTGATGAATTACATTATGCATACTAGTTCTATTGTCTGTTTGATTGTTTTTTCTCGAAGAATTCAGTGAAGCACTAACGGACCTAGACCTGAGTTGGAATCACCTTCGACTGTCTGGAGGAGTGTCCTTGGCTATAGGTCTCCAGGTATGTAATTCCAATATCTTTGTATCTTTGATTATATGTCTCCGGGCATGCGATACCAATATCTTGGTATCCGTGGCTGCATATCTACAGGTATGTGATATCAATATTTAAGTCTCCATAGCTATAAGTAGTAACTAGTATGCAAGTTTCAATGGTTATAAGTAATCAGGTATGCGAGACCAATCTCCAGATTACGTTGTTCATATATATCATTATGATTAGCTGTATAGGTCTCCATGTATATGATGTAATATTTTGATACCTTTGGCAGTAGGTACTCAGGTATAAGATTCATACATCTCAGTACCTATCAGAATAGGTCTACGGGTGTCCGTGGATTATAAGTTTTTAATTCCGTTCCTATTAGGGTTAATTGATTCAACGATATATTCTCTTTTCGTAATTGATGTATATCGACGATACCAAATTATATGTTTTTTATCTGTTTTTTTTTTCATTAACCTTCCAGTTGAATAGAAGTATAAAGAGATTGAATCTGGCCTGGAATGGTTTGTTTATGGATGGTTGTAAGGCAATGGCCACGGCTCTTGAGGTCAATCGGACATTGGAGGAACTTGACCTATCGTCAAATAGGATAAATAAGGAATGTCTAGAGAAACTTTTGGCTGGAGTGAAGAAAAACCCAACGTTAAAAGTTCTAAAGGCAAGTACAGCAAATGTTTGTAAAAATTAAACATTTAAATTTTAAATGCAAGTATAGCAAATGTTTGTAAAAATTAAAAATTAAAATTAATTTTAAAAGTACGTTTTTCCAATGTATGTAAAATCATTGAAAATAGATAAATAAGATTCCAGAAGGTAAGCCTTTTGTGTCACTACCAATCCTAATATTATCAAAACGGTCTTTTTGTGTTACCGTTTACTCAAAAAGCGGTTATGAGAATTTGTAAGTAACTAAAAACAGCTTTTGACCAATCATCAACACCACCTTCTAAAGTATTTCTTCTATTAGAACATTTTTTCCACTCCTATTCTGTACTTCAAACATCATAACCCATTCTAAACTGTTAGAATGACTTCGTTCTCTTGTTATGAGAGCTTTCTTTTCCAAGAAAAGTGAACGGAGGTATAGATATATGGTTGGGACTTATACTGAAGCGTATTCCGTGGAAAATTCCGTCCAAAGTAAAGAAGAAATAAACGGGTTTCTGGTAAACAACATCTTTGTCGAATTCGGTGGTAAGACCTTCAAACAGACTTTTGGCATACATAAAGAGACTGCCTCTCTGTTGACCGACTTTTTATCTTTCATACGAGGCTGAATGTATCGGTGAGTTTATCAAAATAGGTCACAAAGATCGTACAAAGTCCTTCAGTTTCACTTTTAGGTATATGAACTAGAGATTTATTGATGACGTTCATCTGATATACCCACCAGAATTGGAAATAAGGATTTTCTTGCAAATTGTCGACAACTGACAAGCACAGTGTTTCGAGAGATGCAGATTATGGAGCGCTTGTACTGTCGTTAAGTGATCTCGTTGAGAAAAAATCTATTTTTGTGAGATATGCAACTAGATGTGTTTGATGTTAGGTATTTTGTCTGTTGGCTGCATACCTTGCTCTCATTTGGGAACGTGACATTACTTGTTTGAATTTATCAAGATTTACATGACGGACGTCGTCGATGAAACAGAAGACCCTTATTCTTCCGGAATAACTGGTCAAATTTTCCATGTACTGTTTCGGGAGTAAGTGTTTATTTTGTTCATATTTTGCGCTAGTTAGATTGAAGTTGAGTTTGGGTTATAATTCTGTTGACGTGTTTGTGTTTTCTTGTTACAACCCAATGTTTGTAGGTAAAATCGGTTGAAAGTTTTCTCCTCATTGAACGTCATAAAATATTCTACTTAAAAAAATTCTCTTGACGTAAGATGTTATATACAAATGGACATGGAAACATAAATTCTTTCCGAGGGTGATTAGCGAAGAGAATATAAAGGTTTTCATAAATGAAATTAATAATTAAAGGGAGGTAACTCACTATTCATTACTTGATCACATTATTCACACGCAGTCAAATATAAATTACATGCAATCTAACTGTCAAAATCATACATGTAAATTGTGTACATGAACTTTTTAATGCGACACAGTTTAACAAAGAGGCCATGATTGGCAACTAACGCAAATGGAATGGCTACCAAAAATGTGTAATAAAATTTAAAGTTATGTATAGATCAAATAAGCTTAAATAAGCTGTTTGAATTGAATAACAGCAGGAAATAGGAAGATGGAGAGAATAATGAAAACAAAAACTACAATAATTTTAACAGGATAAACTGTATATCTTAAATGAAAACGAAAATAATTTTATGTTTTTATTGTGGAGAATAAGTTATCTTTTTCTAGTTTCTAGATCAGGCAAAATTTAAAACACCTGTTTTGTTAAGTTTTTGTTGTTTTTTTCCTATAAAACTATTATTACCATGAAGCATCTACGACTGTTTACATCTCCATCACAGCAACAAAGCAACAAAATATTAAAATGTCTATATTGATATGGTCATTGTTCATGGTACAATAACTGAGAGTAGACGGATTTAGTAGAGGAAACCAACATTTCTTGTGAGAGAAGGCGGGGACTTTGAGTAGAGGAAGTAAACATTCTTTGTGAGAGAAGGCGGGGACTTTGAGTAGAGGAAGTAAACATTCTTTGTTAGAGAAGGCGGAGACATTGAGTAGAGGAAGTAAACATTCTTTGTTAGAGAAGGCGGAGACTTTGAGTAGAGGAAGTAAACATTCTTTGTTAGAGAAGGCGGAGACTTTGAGTAGAGGAAGTAAACATTCCTAGTTAGAGACGACGGGGACTTTGAGTAGAGGAAGTAAACATTTTTTGTTAGAGAAGGCGGAGACTTTGAGTAGAGGAAGTAAACATTCTTTGTTAGAGAAGGCGTAGAAAATGAATGCAGTAAGTAAACGTCCTTTGTCAGAGAAGGCGAGAGTATTGAACACAGTATGGTACCATCCCTTGCTAGAGAAGGCGGAGACATTGAATACAGTAAGTAAACATCCCTGGTTAGAGAAGGCGAGGACATTGAATACAGTAGTAAACAGCTCTTATTAGAGAAGGCGTGGATATTGAATACAGTAAGTAAATATCCCTCGTTGCAGATGGCGGGGTACATAATTGACATATTTGTTTTGGTATGGTGTATACTAGAGATGACAGGCTTGAAGATATCATTGTATTACCTCATTGTAATACTTTTGCCTGTACTCCTTGCCGTTTTGCTGCCGTGTCCATAGATTGAGTTGATCCGGGCTGCTTTGCGTTGCTGCAGTTCCGTTCCTTCTTTACCAATAATGTTGTTATCTTTAGCTGGCTTTAAATCCTCTGACTACGGCAGGAGCGTCCATTCTACTCTCCACTGTGAAAAGCTGCACAGATCATGGACTCAAGCAGGTGGATATACACGTAAGTGACATGTACGGTTTGTACTTTTAAGATTTCACGTAACTGATCTAAACTACCGCGCGTGATACTGGACATGTGTCCACATAAAAGTGCCAAATGGAACCAACGTTTTTGTTTTACGAAACACATGGTACATTTTCTGTGTTCAGTTTTCGTTTATTGCTCGTGTTCTTTTCATATGAAAGTTACGTCCAGCTTTGTCTTGTGTATGTTTTCTTAACATCTCTTACAGTGATCTCTGTTGATTTATACACAATTATCTATGTTTTTCACAGACACAAGTAGTGGAGCAATCCTACGCCACACAGGCTATTGAGCTTAAAGAGGAGAGGGGGATCGAAATAAAGCACGGGATAGTGAGGGGTCAGGAGGGGTCAGGGGATGATCCTGACGGTATGGAACTCGTCGACGAGAATCCTGTGCTGGTACTCATGGAGTTTGGCAAACTTATGGGCTTTCGTCTAATGGACCTTTTTTCCGCTCTGGATAAGGATGGTAGCAAATCACTGGATAAGGTCGAGATTATGACGGGATTAAAGGTAGGATTAAGATACTTCTGTATTGTATGTTATCTAGGAGGAGAAACTTGTTTCGAATATTCCTTAACTGGATACAAAGTCATTCACAGTATACCGAATGTATCCCCTCCCCCCTCGAACTTGCTAACGGTAGATCTTGGTATAGTCATTACACCGCATGTAATTGTAATATCTATCGTTTTTAGAACTTGCTTAAATTAGATACATTTTAGTATAATCACTACACCGTTTACCATATCTGTCGTTTTAGAACTTACTATATTTATGATAGTTTTGATGAAACGTCACTGCACTGTAGTATGTATTTATCGATTTTAGAAGTTACGCAGCACCTGGTTTTATCCGCCTTGTATTTATTTAAACATTTCGTTTATTCATATCTTGCCGTGATTTTATGGAATTGAGTTTGGATTATGATTATATTGACATGCTGGTATTTTGTTATTTGTGTTCGAACTTACTAACGGAAGACAGATTTTAGAATATTCCTGATCAAAAGTCACTACACCGCACATCATATCTATCAACATAATCCCTGAAAGGGACAGAGAATGTCAAAAATTTCCTTTCTTTTTGATATGTACATAAACATATACACATAATGTGATAATAACGGTTGCAGAATTGACGGCCAATCGATACACTTCTTTTTATAGAATTTTATCATGTTAATTATTTATGTACATAATTTATATGGTATTTAATATAAACTCAGTTATGCGATTTTTTTCTTGAGATTTGATAAATTCTTGAATGAATGTATGTTTCCAACTTATCATTTTCCTGTTTATGTTTATGAATTTATCTTTCTTAAAGTATGTACACATATGTATTATTCTTTATATAAAAATGCAAAACGTCAACTTGAGAATTGAAATTCCAAATCGGTAATGTTTTCTTTTTAGATTCACAAAAACAAGAAGAAAATACCAACATGTAAACACAATCATAATCCAAACTCAGATTTAATAAAATCATAGCAAAATATTCACACGCCGACTCCTGAAAAAGTACAAAGGAATAAGACTATGTGTTCATGAAGAATAAGCGTCTTCTACTTCATTTCCAACACCCGCCATGTAAATATTGGTCAATCCATGTAAGCAATGTAACAATCCCAAATGAGAACAAGGTACACAACAACAGAACCGAAAGGTAAACTAACGAGTATCAAACACGTCCAGTTTTATATCACACAACAGAACCACCAGACATACTAACGAGTATCAAATACGTCCAGCTTTATATCACACAACAGAACCACCAGACACACTAACGAGTATCAAACACGTCCAGCTTTATATCACACAACAGAACCACCAGACACACTAACGAGTATCAAACACGTCCAGCTTTATATCACACAACAGAACCACCAGACATACTAACGAGTATCAAACACGTTCAGCTTTATATCACACAACGGAACCACCAGACATACTAACGAGTATCAAACACGTCCAGCTTGATATCACACAACGGAACCACCAGACATACTAACGAGTATCAAACACGTCCAGCTTTATATTACACAACGGACTCACTAGACATACTAACGAGTATCAAACACGTCCAGCTTTATATCACACAACGGACTCACTAGACATACTAACGGATATCAAACACGTCCAGCTTATATCACACATACATTTATTTGATACAAGGCGTCATTCTATTACACAACAGAACCACGAGTATCACCTCCAGCTTTATATCACACAACAGAACCACCAGACACACTCGTATATCCAATGAACCTTACCAATGAAGTTAACTTCACATCCAACAATTTTCCAAATTAATCTCGTCTACATGTTATCATACTTTGAATATATATATTCCAGCATTGGATGCAGTCATAGATGCTGTAAAACAGGAGATATTAGAGCGATGCACCAAAAGCCAAAGGGATAATGATAAGGAATGCAAGGCCATGCAGGAGCTAAAATAGAACACATGCATTTTTATCAAATCAGTTGACAAAGGGTCTGTAGTGGCTGGAATTTACTTTATACCAAAAGAATGTAAGGCCTTGCAGGACCTAAAACAGAACACATGCATTGTTATCAAATCTATTGACAAAGGGTCTGATGTGTTTACACCATTTACACCAAGGAAACTGCTATATATTACAAGCTTTACATCACATACATAGAACATAAACCAAAGACGCTATCGTTATTATCACCGTTAATCATACTATACTATACTTGTAATATGCATACAACGAACATTTGTTTGTGACGGTTCGGTACAAATATTTACCATACTGTCCATTTTATTTACTAGATTCTATATAAAACGTTTCTAAGCGGTTGAAGTATTTGCAGTTTGTTTATCATCCATGTCGATTTTTTGGCAGTTTGCTAATATCCCTCTCACAGACAAGGCACTGGACAAATTGATCGAGAAGCTTGATGAGGACGGTAGCGGTGAAATAGAATTCAGGTCAGTTCTCGTGGATTGTAGGCCAAAGACTACACTTTCAGTTTTCCCATTACAGTTATGTTTGAGGAGTAAACTAATATAGTTTAGGGTTGTGTTAAATTATTATCACAGGAAGCTTCTTTAACAAGACGAGACATGATAGATAAACAGAGTATATCATTAATGCTAGTAGATAAAAATATGAGGGCTGTTTGATAAGTTGTGAACCTTGTATTGAAAAAGTTATGCAGGGATGTCCTTTTTCAGCTCTACTATTCCCTGACTACTTAAGGCTGTGTACCCGAAACTAGTGTCATTTGGTCGGTTTATGTCGAAGAAGTAGTACTGTAAAGTAAACAAGGCAAGTGGCTTCTGAAAAATGGACAAAAGTAAATATTAAAGTCAAGCGCCGCGGAAAACTCTGCAAAGGTGTGTGTTCCACCAATCTGTCATTACCATTAGTATCACTAACTATTGTGGCTTTGATTTGATTGAGCATCCGCCTTAATCTCCTGGTCTCGCCCCATCATTTCCAAAATTTAAAAAAAAGGTCATTTCCAGTACCCGCTTTCGGTCAGATGATGACGTCATACATGCAGTGGAGGACTTTCTGAACGGCCAAGAAAAGGATTATTTTGTAAAAATGGCATTGAGGCCATTTAGCATGGCTGGCAATAAGTCCGCCAAAAGTTAAACCCTTAAATATGAGCCCTCATATATGGGTGAAGTTTGTAAAGTCTGACCGGAAATTAACGACATCAGTTAAACTTTATCTCAACTTTGTTGCACAAGCTTTATTAAAGATGGTATTGGCTATCTTTGTACTGAAGTAAATAATTGCAATTCTTTGTGAGAGAAATTTGAGATGTTATTGAAATGCTATAACTAAGATTTGCATCATAACTAGACACTTGCTTATCTTGTATCGAGACGATTGAGATCTTATTTTACAATAATAGTTTGAGTGTTCAAGACTTTCATTAATATAAGATATTTGTTTTATAAGTGAGATGATGGCGGGTCAGCAGGAATATCGAACGAAGATGAACAAGATGTACAAAGCGACACAACAATCAGTAGATGTTGAGGACACAGAAATTGGACGAGTTCGCTTGAAACTCCAGCGCCTGATGGCGAAACAGATGGCCAACAACCCAGCATTTAAAAGTAGGGTGGAGAGGTTTCAACAATCACTCAGTAAAGGCTTTAATAATGCAGAAATAGCAGTGCGCATGACTGGAAATAGGCGTGATGTCAATCGAGAAAAAGTGAGGCAACGTCGAGAAACATTAGCAGCGAGAAAGAGCTCCGCTTTATTTGATCTAAGTGGTGTCGAAAAAGATAAAAATTCTAAAAGTAATAAAACTGGGTCTATTCCTTCTGATAAAGATATCGATGAAATGAAATTCAAAACAGTTCAAACCGTTTCAGAACAGAGTGATGTGCCTATTTCTATCGAGGGTGGTGCTAACGATGAGTCCGCTGTAGAGGACGCGTCAAATGATATACTTAGTCTTATGTCTAACAATCCTATTGGCATGCGCAGAAAGAAGGGCTGGATGGATATGCACGTTTGATTTTCGCTCGTCCCCATTAAACTCTATATATTGCATGGTTGTGTTGTGTTTTGCTTCTTGCTTCAATATATCATTATTCTAAAGCTGGGCCCAACAATAGCTGACACATTCATATCAGTAATTGTGAGTTTGAGCATGCATGTGCTATATTTAACACCTGTATTATACATCAGCTTGAAGTGTGTTGTGATATACCTTTATGACACGGTACACAGAAATATACATTTTAGGTCATCTGAACCGAATGGTAAGGAAAAACATAATCACCATGTTTAAACTGTCGTCGTGAAGCCTTCACTGCGCGTAAACTTTTAACATTTAAAATCCAATAAGATTCAGCTCAAACTTGCCTGAGGTAATCCTGAGATGGTCTTGTGTTCTTGTACAGGTCAGTCCAAAATTATATATGACAGTCATTAGTGCCATATTTGATAACACATTTTAAAGTCCACAACGTCCATCTTGTATTACACTAGAGTTAATTTCCCCTATACCTAAATTCGACGGTACCTAATTTGTGATAGACATTAATTTGAAATTTGTTCAATGTGCGTAAAAGTTACATTTTAGCGTATCACATCGCATATGTATCTCTTACCTTATTCCCTAAAAACAGCCATTCTGACTTCAGTAAACCTCTAGAAATAAAGCACGCCAGAAGACCATGTAATTAGATATAAGAATGAAGGAGGGATACATATGATAGCACCTTTCGCACGAAATGAGTTGAGTTATTCTTACAAACGTTACTTCCTTCTAGCGTCGTCAGAGTTCTTTTTTATATAAAGGGGATTAACAACTAAAGTTTAGTAAGTAAATACGAGAAGACGATGATCTAAGTAAGATCAATTGGGGTTTTCTTCAGTCGCCTAAAGTTTTCATCCAATTAGTACCAAATCACTGACGAGTCCTAGAACACGACAGCAGTATCAGGTAGTAAACATTTACTACCTGATTTATGTTAACACCGGACAGGTAATAAACATCTAATATCTGGTTTATGTTTAACACCGGCCAGGTAATAAACATCTAATATCTGGTTTATGTTTAACACCGGACAGGTAATAAACTTCTAATACCTGGTTTATGTTTAACACCGGACAGGTAGCAATTAAATAGTACCTGTTTTATGTTTAACATCCGACAGGTAGTAAATATATAATACCTGTTTTATGTTTAACACTTGACAGGTAGTAAATATATACCTGTTTTATGTTTAACACCTGACAGGTAGCAATTATATAATACCTGTTTCATGTTTAACACCCGACAGGTAGTAAATATATAATATCTGTATTATGTTTAACATCTGACAGGTAGTAAATATCTAATACCTGTTTTATGTTTAACACCTGACAGGTAGTAAATGTATAATACCTGTTTTATGTTTAACATCTGACAGGTAGTAAATATCTAATACCTGTTTTATGTTTAACACCTGACATGTAGTAAATATATAATACCTGTTTTATGTTTAACACCTGACAGGTAGTAAACATATAATACCTATTTTATGTTTAACATCTGACAGGTTGTAAATATATAATACATGTTTTATGTTTAACACCTGACAAGTAGCAAATATATAATACATGTTTCATGTGTAACACCTGACAGGTAGTAAATATATAATACTTGTGTTATGTTTAACATCTGACAGGTAGTAAATATCTAATACCTGTTTTATGTTTAACATCTGACAGGTTGTAAATATATAATACCTGTTTTATGTTTAACATCTGACAGGTTGTAAATATATAATACCTGTTTTATGTTTAACACCTGATAGGTAGTAAATATATAATACCTGTTTTATGTTTAACATCTGACAGGTAGCAATTATATAGTACCTGTGTTATGTTTAACACCTGATAGGTAGTAAATATATAATACCTGTTTTATGTTTAACACCTGACAGGTAGTAAATATCTAATATCTGGTTTATGTTTAACACCGGCCAGGTAATAAACATCTAATATCTGGTTTATGTTTAACACCGGACAGGTAGTAAACATCTAATACCTGGTTTATGTTTAACACCTGACAGGTAGTAAACATATAATACCTATTTTATGTTTAACATCTGACAGGTTGTAAATATATAATACATGTTTTATGTTTTAACACCTGATAGGTAGTAAATATATAATACCTGTTTTATGTTTAACATCTGACAGGTAGCAATTATATAGTACCTGTGTTATGTTTAACACCTGATAGGTAGTAAATATATAATACCTGTTTTATGTTTAACACCTGACAGGTAGTAAATATCTAATATCTGGTTTATGTTTAACACCGGCCAGGTAATAAACATCTAATACCTGGTTTATGTTTAACACCGGCCAGGTAATAAACATCTAATACCTGGTTTATGTTTAACACCGGACAGGTAATAAACATCTAATATCTGGTTTATGTTTAACACCTGTCAGGTAGTAAACATATAATACCTATTTTATGTTTAACATCTGACAGGTTGTAAATATATAATACATGTTTTATGTTTAACACCTGACAAGTAGCAAATATATAATACATGTTTCATGTGTAACACCTGACAGGTAGTAAATATATAATACTTGTGTTATGTTTAACATCTGACAGGTAGTAAATATCTAATACCTGTTTTATGTTTAACATCTGACAGGTTGTAAATATATAATACCTGTTTTATGTTTAACATCTGACAGGTTGTAAATATATAATACCTGTTTTATGTTTAACACCTGATAGGTAGTAAATATATAATACCTGTTTTATGTTTAACATCTGACAGGTAGCAATTATATAGTACCTGTGTTATGTTTAACACCTGATAGGTAGTAAATATATAATACCTGTTTTATGTTAAACACCTGACAGGTAGTAAATATCTAATACCTGTTTTATGTTTATCACCTGACAGGTAGTAAATATATAACAACGACACGAGATTTACACCTCCTAGTAGATTGTTGTTCCCTAATAACGTGCCAGGCCTTGACAAAAACGAATGCACTATTAGACATATTAACTTCCATGCTGTCACTGTGACGTCATCACTACAGACATGTGACTATCACTAGGTTCCCCATGTGCTGTCACTGTGACGTCATCATTACAGACATGTGATTATCACTAGGTTCCCCATATGCTGTCACTGTGACGTCATCACTACAGACATGTGATTATCACTAGGTTCCCCATATGCTGTCACTGTGACGTCATCACTACAGACATGTGATTATCACTGGGTTCCCCGCATTCTGTCACTGTGACGTAATCACTACAGACACGTGATTATCACTAGGTTCCCCATGTGCTGTCACTGTGACGTCATTACTACAGACACGTGATTATTACTGGGTTCCCCGCATGCTGTCACTGTGACGTAATCACTACAGACACGTGATTATTACCGGAATCTCCAATTTCCATGTTATCGTATCATTGCATTGAGTACTTATAATTCCTCTCTCCACGTTAAAAAATAATTATTTGATCTCCAAACGTATGGATATCTGTAACTATAGCAACCCGATTACACCTGCAGCACACTATGGTACTAAAGTGATAACAATGACATATGATTGCGTCATTTGCTTGCCAGCTTACGCTTCATAGATACCCCGAGGCAATCCCACGGCAGTCAGGTAAGTCCGTGTGTTAAAACCACTTAACAGATTCCCTCTAATTACTTGAATCTATACCAGTGTTGATTTAATAGTTATCTTATTGAATGATTATTATCCCTTCTGAATAAATTTAGAAACAAGACAGCTCCAAACAAAGCTTCATAATTACATTTTTACAGTGATTATTCCCGCTTGGATGAAAAACTTACAAGCTCACCTTGGCTTAATATGGGATATTATGTCAAACTGGATGTTATTGTCATGTTTATATCGGGCAAGGTGTCATTTTCCAATTCTAGTTTCCACAATGATCTCATATGTCGTTCTCTTCTCCTTACAGCCCAACAAAAACGTCTTCAGGAGCAGATGAACATGGTGGCTGAGTTATCGAAGGCAAAACGGAGGTCACGATCGTCGATTCCCAGTCTCAGACCAAATTAACGACCGTCGGTTACCAGTCTCAGACCAAATTGACGACCGTCGATTACCAGTCTCAGACCAAATTGACGACCGTCGATTACCAGTTTCAGACCAAATTAACGATTGTCGGTTACCAGTCTCAGACCAAATTAACGAACGTCGATTACCAGTCTCAGACCAAATTAACGACCGTCGATTACCAATCTCAGACCAAATTAACGACCGTCGATTACCAGTCTCAGACCAAATTAACATTCGAAAAAGACTTAATCACAGCTTAATAACGTACACGAATGTTAGTGGACATCATATTATGTTTTTGGTATTGCCTCTGTATGGAGGAGAGAGTTCTCGTGCAGATTGTGCGTGAAATGAGCCTGTGTGTAATGACCATGTGTGTAGTGAGCCTGTGCAATGAGCTTGTGTGTATTGACCATGTGCGTAATAAACGTATGTGTGGTGACCATGTGTGTAGGGAGCCTGTGCAATGAGCCTGTGTGTAGTGACCATGTATGTAATAAGCCTTTGTGTAGTGACCATGTGTGTAATGAGCCTGTGTATAGTGATCATGTTTGTAATGAGCCTGTGTATAGTGATCCTGTGTGTAATAAGTTTTTTTGTGTAATGACCATGTGTGTTATGAGCCTGTGTGTAGTGAGCTGGTGTAATGAGCCTGTGTATAGTGAGCCAGTGTAACGAGTCTGTGTGAAGTGACCATGTGTGTAATGAGCCTGTGTGTAGTGAGTTTATGTAATTAGCCTGTGTATAGTGATCATATGTGTATTGAGTCTGTGTGTAGTGAGCATGTGCAATGAGCATGTGTAGAGTGAGTCTGTGTAATTAGCCTATGTCTAGTGATTCTGTATGTAATGAGCCTGTGTATAGTGATCCTGTGTAATGCGCGTGTGTGTAGTGATCCTGTGTAATGTGCCAGTGTAAAGTGAGCTTGTGTAACGAGTCTTT